TACCTACCCGGCATAGTTCGAGAAAGAAGAGGTGAGTTATGTTATATTTAAATTAAAAAAACATGTTTGTGGGATAATGTTGTCCTTATCCTAAAAGCACGTTCGTTTGACCCTTTTTACTTCTTTAAACAACAGCTCCGTCACGACCCGATGGTTTTTTTTTTTTGGGGGGGGGGGGGGGGCCAAGGTTGTTTGAAGTCGATTCTTTCCATGCAGCACCCATAGGCACAATGTTAAAAATGTAAAATATTGGGGGACACGTCCCCCGTACCCTTCCCCCCCCCCCCCGGTGGTGGGGCCCATGGTCTTAATTCCGCTCGCTGAACCGTTTAAGATTCTTCTGTCTCGTTTGTGCTTGTTATTTTTCCGACTGTTATTATTTTTACGACTGTTTTTTTAATGCCTACACACATAATTTCGTACACTATTCGATTTCAGCGAGCATTTTCAACCTTTCTTACAGTTCTGGCGCGAGTTCGACCGGGTGGTGGGTTGCTCAGCCGGCTCGAAGCCGGCACTGACCACTACGAGGCCTCGATGCAGCGGCTTAAATCATGGCTAAGCCGAGTTCAGGCGGCATGCTTCCGCACAAAAGGTTTGTGTTTCATTATCTGTTCATTTTTATACAATAAAATAAGGAAAAGCAACGTAACTAACAATTAACCCTCGCATGTGTGCGGCGTTTGCCAGCTTCTAATGTGTAGGGGGGGGAGGGTCGGTTGGACCCCCCCCCCTTGCCGTTTGGCCCCTGATTGAGCTAGAGCTTCGCGGAAAAAACGAGCGTGTTGCCCGTGACGAGAGGAAGCCGATGATACCCAATTTTAAGGTCCTAGGTCATTGATTGACCTTCCAGGTCAGGTCAATGACCCAAAGTCGGGAAAATCGGGACCTATTAGAAAGTCGTAAAGTGTGGCTGCTAAGGGGTTTTTTCGGGGTGCTGATCACGAATATCGTGTTAGTTTTGATCACAGATGATGTCTTTAAGCATTTAGACCAGGTCGGGTCAGGTCAGGTCAGGTCAACCAGTAGGGGTTGTAACGGGTATTCGTAGTACGTGTCAACCGCCTCTGACAGCTTCGTAACATGTTACAAAGGCACCAAAACTACTTCGTAAATGTTCAAATGGTTGCTAAATTCGAATTCAGCTCCAAAAACTAGCCTAGAAACATGTAAAACTCGAAAAAGTGAGCCGAGGTCACCCGAGGTCACCAAAGGTCAATGACCTGACCTGACCTTCAGGTGACCTTGACACCCACCCTAATGCATGGGAGCAGCATCAAATCACATGTTTGAACGTTTGAAACCACGAAAAGCTTGCAAACGCGCGGCTAATGCGAGCCGACATACGCGTAATCGCGATTCCGGCCAAACATGGTCTCGGAAAAGAGGTCACAGGTCAAAGGTCATTTGGGTCAGGGTCATGAAATTTTCAGGGTAGGTGTAAAATTGATCAATGCGAGGGTACTGAAAGTTTCGTCGCGATCGGCCGCTTTTTACGCGAGTTATTCGCGAAAAACCAAGGGGGGGTCCATCCGACCCCCCCCCCCTACACATGCGAGGGTTAATTAAGTATGTTAACGTGCTTCAATATCATACATGCATCAATATAAACATTAATATACTATATATATATATATATATATATATATATATATATATATATATATATATATATCCATTACTGTTAAGTTTAACACATTTTATGTGATTGTTTCAAGTTGATTTTAATATTGGACGCCCATGGAAGTGTTTTGCGAGACTAAAACCCGTCTGTTAAGGTGACCATCCCACCTTGACCCGCGCTGTGCTGGGTGGCGTTTTACACCCCCCCCCCCGCCCCCTCAGGTTTTTCGCGAATATCTAAGAACGGCGGCGCGCAGCGCCACCATTTTCGGCACACCTGCTCATACATTTTTTTTCTGCATATGGAAGAAATTTTAGACCCAGGTCGTTCAAGGTCAGGTCACGTCAAATGACTTTACATGAGAAAAATTTTCAATGGTCGCTGACGATCGTGCACCGTGCCATGGAAACCGTTCGATATTTTTGTCATTTTTGCTCAGGGAATTCACCGCTCGATTTCACACCAGTTTGAGGTAAAATGTTAAAAAATTATCGAACGGATTTTATTTAATAGAGTTTTTGATACTGTCCCATGTCTCAAGTATCAACCTTACGGCATGTATAAAATATATTTGCTAGTGCAATAAAACACCTCATATGTGTTCAGCTTGACGGTTTGGATCGACTGATATGCAACATGACCTGGTCAGGTCAACCTGAGATCAAGTTTTAAAAATGGCCTTTCAAGGTCTAATTATAGTTCATTCGTCCCGACGAGAGGAACACTATGCTAACGGCAAAATAAATATCGTGACTCTTGAGTGGAAAGTATTACAGAAAACATTTTCGTAAAAACGGCTTTTTTAGAGTTTTTGCTCTCTGGAGGCTTAATTGTTGAACTGAGGTCAAATCTGAGATCAAGCGCCAGCAAAAAAAAAAAAAACGTCGAAAGGGCTTTTGACTGCATTTTTCCGCGGGCAGCTCTTTTGGTTCCGAGTTAAGCACCAGTTTTTCGAAAATATTGAAATAAGCAAAATTTGGCTTATCCTGACCTCTGGTGACCTGGCACTTGACTTGACCTTAAAAATTACCCAAGTATTTCCTTAAATATCTTTTATGCTTTTCGAATGCCGCTTACTGCGTGTCGCTACGTGGCCCAACAGCCGAGTTAGAAGAGGGGACGTGAAGACGACCCCCCCCCCCCCCCCAGTACATTACGGTAAACTCAGAGCACCAGCACGGCGCGGTTTAACATTAATTTTGTGCTGAAGTAACTTGATAACTTTTGATATTTCAATCAACTTGCATGCCCATATAACTTCCGTTTCTCTTACTGGCAAAAGAAAATCTGACTTTTTATTGTGTTTTCAGGGAACGGCCCATTGAGCCTCCTCTGCATCTTGGCGGAGAAGGCGTCAGTGGTGGCGTACACGGGTGACGAAAATTTGGATCACCCCCATCATAACAAGTCCGAAGGAAACGAACGGTGCCGCCTCAGCGTAGTTCGAACGGAAGTCTTGTGGGGATCCATGGTTTGGAAGGGAGTCTTGCTGTGGGCGACGGCGCACTTTGTGCTCAATCAACAAACGGCGCATTAAGTGCGAAACACGCTGTGGTTTGTGTGTATCCATGTGCTCCAAACACCATTCAATGCTGAGCGCCAGCCACCTGTAGCCGCGAAGACTGAGGTCGAGAAGCTGGCAAAAGAGTGAAGCTGAGCTGACGTGGAGTCGATCCCTCCCCCGACGCAGTTTGGCGTGTGTCAGAATTGAAATACAGCGCAATGCGACCGTTTCTACAAACATATATTTCTTGGTAAGGGCTGGGGCGAATAGTGCAAGACTAGACGTTGGTCGGGCATGGTATACCTAATACAGATATGTATGCTGGTTTTGGGCAATGATTCGTTATATATTGGCCAATCCCAATATATAGACTAGCTGCCTGGTAGTGGCTGTTGTATGTATCAGCATCATGCATGCATACCTATTGCATAATGCTGATGCGGCAGCTGTTATCATGGGCGGCGAGCCTATATATTGGCTTGAGCCAATATGAAACGAATCAGATCAGCCGTTTCAGGCGGCGCCTGAGTAACACCCGAGTATCGTATGAGTTATCGATGTGAGTACGTCCTGAGTACAGCCCTAGTTTCCACTGAATAACCGATGAGTTCCACCTGAGTTATGGCCGTACTACCACCTGAGTTATACATTAGTACCAGCTGAGTTACATATGAGTTACTTCCTAGTTTTTCATGAGTAATGACTTACTATTACCTGAGTTTGGCCTGAGTTGTCTGAGTAGGACATGAGTTACGCATGAGTACTTAATGAGTTTTATCTGAGTTTTACCATCGGACAAAATGGCAACTCACTTTGTTACTCACATGCTACTCACTTGCAATGAGTTTTGCCCGAGTTTTACCTGCGTTCCGCCCTGAGTTTTACCTGAGTACGCGGATTTAGAGTGAGTTTTACCATTGGACAAAATGGCAACTCAGTCATTACTCAGAAAAGTGAGTAAAAATTTTTTTCAGTGTATAAACACGATTAAACACCAGATAAAAGAAGGTGAGGCCTATGAGCGAGTGAGTAAAATGAGTGGAGCACTAGGTGTTGTCACATTTTCTGACCGCTGCCTTGAAGGCGCGGAGGGTGGGCATGCCACGGACAGACTGTGGAAGTCCATTCCAGGTTACCGCCCCGCGGTATGAGAAGGCTCTCTGGCTCGATGACAGTCTGCAGCGCTGCACATGCAGGTCGCCGCCATCGGAGCCGCGCGTCTCCCGGGTCGACACCACGCTCCGGGGCACCAGGAGCTCTCGCACATTGGAGGGTGCGCCGTCCGTCCGCAGCAGCCCCCACACCTTGGTGACGTCCCGGCGCGCCACCAGGGCCGCGATCCTCGGCCAATCAAGGGAATTTAGAGATGATGTGATGTGCTCGTGTTTTTTAACCCCTGTTACAACTCTGGCCGAAAAATTGATTAGCTTCTGAATTTTTTGCATCTGAATTTTTTGCATCTACTTTTTCTAAAATAAGCACCCAATACCCATTTACCTTTATAGAGCCTAACATAATCTTCGAAATCTTACTTCATGACCTTAATTTTCCATGAAACTCACCATACCTATTCTTTTTTACACCTAGGACCTCAGCACACGGCCCGTTCCTGGATCACGCCTCTCTTTCCCTGGCTGACGGTCACCTCACCATAAAGGTCACCTCACGTATCGGTCACGTCCTCCTCAGACAACCGTTAGGAGTAGTCCCGTCTTCCGTGGGGATATTTAGGTAACTCCGGGGTGACCTTTTGAGTGACTGGGAGACTTGCCACGCCTCCTACCGGCAGAGACCCCGACCCAACGGAAGGGCTCAGCTACTCCGACACACCCTGTCAATGGCTCTGCTTGCTGCAGATAGAACTGTACTCACCGTATTTGGGGCCCGGCTGGTTGTGTTTCGGCTCGACAGGTGTCGCTGCGGGCGTCTCGGTGTCAGCGGTGGCGCCGCTGTCGCCCTCCACAGAGTCGTCGTCACTGAGGACGCAGGGGGCAGGTGTCCGTCAGCAGCGGGCAGGACTAGTATGGTGATTGGATGCTCGTTGCTGCAGCTCTTCTCGTAACATGGAGCAATAAATCATAAAAGGACACAAATTTAGGAGCTACCTGAAAAGTGTTTGACTGCAAAGGGGTACCATTGGTGGCACTTGCAAAATGCTCGCAAGAATGCATTACCAACCCTTAAGGCCTTAAAATTTGACTGAACTGACCGTATAGAAACACAGGATTGTAAAGACGACTTTCCTATTCCTATAAACCAGGCACGCACATGCACTGCCACTAAATCATACACTCGCTTACAAATATAACTTTAAACTCACCTTTCGGCCGGGACCAGCACCATAGCGCGTTTCCTGGGCATCGGCGTCGGCACGTAGTTGGCCAGAACTCCCTCCGAGGGGCCCTCGTCCGACAGGGCCGCGTCCGTGGCGCTTTCATCGGTGCTTTCCGCCGTCTCCGGCGAGACGGCCGTCTCCGGGCTGGACTGGTCAGATTGCACAGGGGATTCTGTCTCTTTCAAAACGATGGCTGAGGAATCGGGTGAGTCTGTCGCCACTTCAACAGCTGTGTCCGTTTGTTCAGCCGCCTCAGTCTCATCGGTGCAGATTTCATCTGCTTTCTCTGTTGTCTCTTGATTGGATTCATCATCTTCATCAGAAACATCACACGCGGATGTTGATAACCTTTCAACACGTGCTCCTGATTCTTCCTCAGAGCCCTCTCTGTCTGGCTCAGTCATTATCGACATCTTCGACAGAGTAACCCTCTCCCCTGGCGGTGACTCCTGCTCCTCATCAGACTGCGTTATTTCCTCAGTCTCCAGCGTCCCGTCCTCCAGAGGACAGTCGTCAGTCTGAGCCTCTCCCTCCTCTCCAGACCCATCGCTGAGCCGGCGGTGACTAGCCGGAGGACTGGCTCCGCCACTCCCGCCTGAGTCATGGAAACCCTCGTCCTCCTCAGCTGGCGAGGACGGCTCTCGGCTGATCGTCCTCGTCTCGTTCCTCTCCTCCTCGTCCTCGATCTCAGAGTCCTCTGCGAGCTTCGGTCTGTCCTGAAACACCTCTGGAGGCGGCAGGGGGCTCACGCTGCCCTCCTCGTCGCCACCACCCGTCGCGAACACACTATCCATGCTCAGCTCACGTTCCAGTCGCTCGAACTGGCGCAGCGCCGAGGCCAGGTCGAGCTGCGGCGCCGGCGGAGGGGGCAGCCGGCCGGCCCCCCGCTCCACCACCGTGGAGGTGCTGCTCCGGCTGCTGCATGAGCTGCCGTCAGACTCCAGCGCCGTCTGCAGCCACGCCTCCTGCGCCGACAGCGCGTCAGTGGCGACGAGCGGCGCGGCCGGCGCGGCGGCGGCCCGTCTCTCCCTCCTCCCCGTCGGGGATTTATCCCGAGCGCCGACCTCCCTCGCCGGAGACACGCGCAGGGTGTCCCCTCCGAGCGAGATGCCGCTGTCCTGGCTGACCAGCGTCTCCCGCCTGCCCAGGTGTCTGACGCGCAGCTCCACGGCTAGAGGGGTGTCCTGCAGCAGCTGCACGCACTGCAGCCGGGTGAGAGCCGTCACCGGCCGGCCGGCAATCGCCGTGATCCGGTCCCCCGGCTGCAGCCTACCCCAGCTGCACGAGGCGCGTGCTGACGGACTGCCTTCGGCACAGGACTGAACCGACACACCCTGCACGGCCTCTTCGGCACTCTCACCGCCGCGGAACTTGAGACCGAGCCCCAGCCGCTCGCCGGGCAGCCGGTACAGCGTCACCAGCTCGGTGGTGTGGGACGACACCACAGCAGACGGTGTCTCATCAGCGGCCAGTTTGGTGTGTTTCACATCCATCCCTGCAGCCTTATCTGAGACCGGACTCACCGCCAGGTCTGTGAAGCTGTCAGTAGTCACCGCGACTCTCTCCGTACCGGGCGCTGAAGGAGAGCCCTCCTCACCACCATCCCTCACGTCCAGCACGGTGACAAAGGTGACGCCCTCCTCGCTGCTCTCATTGGGCACCTGGACGCTCAGTTTGCGGCCCTCCAGCACGCTGTGGTACTGCGGGTTCTGGTAGAACGCCTGCGGCGCCGGCGCCAGCTGACTTTGACTTATATTCACCACTGTGACGAATGGGTCGGGCTGTGAGCGGCCGGACGGCGCCGCCGAATCCATGGCAGGAGGCGGCGGAAGGGGTTCGCACGCCGGCCGGGCGGCCAGCAGTCGTCGGACGCGGGGCCGCCGCAGACGCTCACACCGGAAGCCACCACTTCCGGCGGTGGTGTGACGTCACCAGTGGGCCCCACGTGACCGGGTGTCTGCTCAGACGGTCACGTGACCGGGCGACGGCCGGCGTCGGACTCAGAGCGGCCCTGTGAACGAAATAATGAGCACTGTCAGTTCAGTTGGTTATGGCTTGTTTTGCTATTGCTGCACAGCATGGCTGTAATCATTGACAAAATTCAATGTTCCTGTCTGCAACGATGCAAAACACTGCCGGGATGTCTCTGAAGTAATAGAAAACCCGGGGGAAATCGAAAACAAATTGCGACACTTATAGGCAATATTTTCCAACCAAACACGCCTCAGCGTGCCTGTTGATATGCCGAACGGCGATGTCAAACCTTCACCGTATCAGCCCTGGCCCAGAGACGGTATACCGGACTACAATGGACAATTTCCAAAGGTATCAAGCGTCGCTAGCTTTCTTCTCGATCACGTGTATGTACTCGCTCAGTGAACACGTGTCGGTACAGGGGAACGTGGTGGGTCGTCATTGGTCACCGTCAGTGACGCAGCGGGGCCGGGCGTCACTGACGGTGAGGGTGTCATGGGACTTCACTGATGGCGGAGCGGCGGAAGGAGTGGTGTATGGAAGAAAAACGAGGACGAGAAGGCGAGAGAGAGAGCCGCTCTATGCGCCTCAGAATATAGGCGGAGTAAGAGTAAGGAGGAGAGAGGGGGAAAGAAAAGATAGAGACGAGGAGAATGGAATTTTGTTCTGATCTCTGGTGGTGCAATTGATTCGCTGGACAGTTGTCAGCAAAGCCTGAAGATGAGAGTATGGCCCAAACACATCAGCTATCGTTATACGAGTATCACGATGCGTGCCGTAATTGAGGCGATATAAGGTTAAAACGAACAGACAGGTGGGCAGGAAATCAAATTTCACGAGCCGACCGCTGGCGGGGCCCGAGCCCGAGGTCGGGGGTCCAGGAAGGGCCGGCCGGCCGGTCTGTCGGACCGCCACTGCCGACAGCCACCCCCCCCCCCGTGCCCCGGGGCGTCATCGGGACGTGCTTCAGACTTCAGAGGGCCCGTCGCCGGAACCACCGGGCCACCTTCGGGGGCGACCGACTAACCTGATTTCCCTTATTTGGCGACTGCCGGACGCGGAACCTTGAGAGCTCGGCGGCGGCTCGACGGGCAGAGGCCGCATACTAATGGCAATGGCTGCGTGCTGACGGCTCCGACAGCTCAGGGCGACGAGGGGAGGGGCGAGAGGGGGAGGGGCGAGAAGACCCCTGAGCGCCGCCGGCCGCTGCTTCCTTACCTACAGCCTACAGGTGCAGGCAGGAGCGTGTCTTATGAGTGAGAATGACAGCAGCCACAGGTTTCCTCACATCTCCCGAATCCCAGGAAGCGGTTACGGCTCTCCATATAATGGTTCGATAAAAATGCTAGGGTTAACTTTCTCAGTCTGGCAAGGTCGAACTTCGGAGACAGCGTGCATGTTTATGATTCAGGAGACATCAGGAATTTTCAGGTGCACAACTACACACCAGGCGTAATGCTAACAGCCTGTCGATTGAACGGATATCGCCTCGCCAAGAAGTAGCGAGGCGTCATCTGATGTGCCGCTGAGCTCTAACAACATCTAACAGCGTCAGCGTCCTGATGACAGAACCAGGGTGTCTACAAGCACAATTTTCCACAGAGCTACGAAAATGGAGCACCTCCGTCGACCAGGCGGTGTTCGCGAATTACACTGTGACGCCATTACGTTAGATCGTCACGTCATCGCGTTAGACCGTCACGTCAATGGCCCACATAGTCGGCTCCCATTAGACCAACACCATCAACACGGTTAGCACAGTCCTCCGCCTCCTGTGGTGAATCGCCACACTGACCTATGACGCCCTGGGGAATATCGACAGCGCTGTACCAGCAAAATGCATCGGACGGGCGACCGAGATGACACAGTTTGTCCGCCAGACATCCGACAAGGAATGACTGGATCGTTTTACTGAGTGTGTCAGCACGGGTGACGGGCGTGACACGACGATGTCTTCAGCATCTCGAATGGAGATGACACGACTCGCTTAATCCATGATTTTCTAAAACGACCCCCACGGGGTCAGGTCAGCATGTCACGACTTAGCACGACTCTGAATATCATCGGAGCTGACCGAAGCTTTTACGATACATGATTTGATTCCTATGTCTGCCATGTAACCCTTGAGGCATATCTCATAGCTTCAGAAACACGACTCTCCCAACTTTTTTTATTACTAATAACGACTCGAGGCCAATAGGTGTTATTATATCAATCAACCAAGACTGAGGAATGTTGTCATTGAGTCAATACATTTTGTAAAGGAGCCTAACCCCAGGATCGGACTGGCCAGCTGCACGCGCAACATGTATACCTACCTACCGGACGGCGGCGGCCGCAACGGTACAGCAACGACGTGACCTGGGTAGGGTATGCATAAAGTATGGGTCTGGGTCTGGGTAGGGTATGGGTCGCCGCCCATGGGCGCGGTCACATGTGGGCCTGATAACGGTTGACGCGCACTAACGAGCTACGCATAGTTAAGTGGGCTTACCGGAGCAACCCAACGAGTCTCCTGTCCTGTTTTCAGTCAAAACATGGGCGTCAATCTTGTAAATAAAAATTGATGGGGAAAAGATTAGGTACACCTACCTATTTTATTGACTTTCCACTCTCAACCAGGCAGATCAAACGATGGAATGGTGCGGTAAAATCGCTCCTTCCTTTTCCCGAGAAACACCAGCTGTGCCCACAGCGCCCTCCTCCTGGCCCCTCCCCCCCCCCCAAAAAAAAACGCAAATCGACTATGACTTAAACGTAAGGCAGAACGCCAAACGCAGTCAAGTACCCATTGGCATTCACCTGCGTCGGAGGCAGTCAGTTTCTATATGAATAATAGATTATATTTTGGCCTCTAGGCCACTACACACCTTGATTTTTTAGGGAAATCCTACAAATTTAAATGCAGTTTATGCAGCGCCGCCCGCGTGGCTTCAAATCACGACGCCATTCATATTCACAGGTCAAGCCGGGTCATTGGAAGACGCTGATGTGAAACTGAGCTCACAGCTCGAGCCCCGCCGCGCTGGTTACCGAACATCGACCGCTAGTGACCGGCACGGCTCTTCCACCGGCTCACGGCTCTATGCTAATGCCCGCTGACATGTGAGCACGTTGATAATGGTCATTACATACCGCACGTGGCCCACAGTGGACCCAGACAGGAAGTGGCTAAAGAGGAGGCCGACAGGCCAGTTCCGTTCGACTGAATAATCACCCCGACACCGCAGCGAACGCACACGAATCCATGCCGCACCGCCAGTTTAGTGATTGTTAGGGTGACCCGCTGACCCGCGAGAACCCGGTTCATGTCGGCCGAGCAGAAATGAATAGTTCATGAGACATCTGATAGACGTACAATGGAATTCTCCGCCTGTCTGAACAGAGTCTAATAACGCTCATTACATATGCGATCAGCGAAGATGAACGGCGTTGTCGATGACTTTTTCGCTCGCTGGGACTGTTTTCGTGTAACGTAGCTTTCCGTTCCTTTTGTTCGGACACACGGTTTCAGGACTGGACCGGGGTGTGACCGTTCCGCTCCACATGCACCGTCTATGGACGATGTCACACCATTACAAAATTACATATGGTCCCGTTTTGTGTGCACCAAAATATAGGTCGCTTTATTTAGCTACCGGGTGTAGATAGTAGGAACACAAGAACTGAAGCGTGTTCACGGTCTGACGCTTCATTTGCAGTGCAACAGACCCGTTGGCTGACCCCATCTAGCCAAGACAAAACAATAAGCAGTGCTACAGCGCATCTGAAATAAACTCAGCCTGATTACAGCCTGAAAAGAGTTGTCGACTATCGGAGGAAACCAAGCCTGGAATAGCCCGCCATCAACATGCCGCGCGTCGCTTTTCACTCAATGAACGGAGGTGGCGCGTTTTAAAGCTGTGCGGCTGTCGACCATGAAACACCTCCCACTTCCGGCGCCCGGCTCTCAGGCTGGTGCCGGCGTGGGAGCCACCGGAAGGGGACTGACACTGCATACAAGCAGACAGTCGGAAGGATGGACGGGAGGGGAATGACACTGCAGACAGACAGACGGACGGGACGGCAGGGGTCTGCCACTACCGACGAACCATCCGCGGGTGTCCGATTGGGCGGTCCGTGGTGCAGAGAGGCGTTGGGATGTGCGGGGACGCGGTGGACGCAGGTAATCACTGCAGACGGGTCAACGAAGGGAAACAGAGGGGGGGGGGGGGTGGTCGAGACGGGCGGACGGCAGAAGGTGGAGGAATGAAACAGAGTAGGTCCCACAGACTGATGGCGGGAGGGGTTCCGTAGGACGCGTCGCACACAATTATCAGTCGGACAAACCCAAGACTGATGCAAAAGACTGGGAAGAAGTCTCTGAACCTCGCCCGAACGCAATGATCTGGTTGATCCCAATGGCTTTTTTTTTTACTTACCAAATTTTCGAATACAGGCGCCCCTCAATGGCTGTGTCTCCACGCTCATGTAAATTTATTGCAATGAAGACCTTCCAGGGGTATCCTGAAACAGAACAACTAAGATGAAGCATGCCGATGTGATACAGTCATATATCCACCGTAAATACATACAACCACTGGTACAGACTACAGACCATCAAACAGCGACGGAAGAAGGATAGGCATAATAAAAGGGAAGGATTTGGACAGAAATCAGGTGGCCTTGCCATTTCAAAAATGACCCGCCCTAGCCCGACGCACTGAAACCAATGCTTTGCTGAGCCTTTCACGAGGCTCAGCATGAGCAAAGCATGAGAAGACCTGGCGTGGTTTATGTTCGGTGATGTAGCCGGAGTGTATAGGGTTTATCATTGCCACCGGTTGTCGATTCGCCACGCAGTAAGGACTGACCTGGAAAGTGGAAACATCAATCAGTCCGGAATCCGTATGTCTGCCCGTCTGCAGTCTAGATGAATCACTCAGCACGGACGGCAATATTGACCACCTCGGCGTGGAATTGGGATGTCCTAAGGACCTACTCCGGCCCTGCAAGCCACCCCAAAAGTATCACTTATACAGGCCCTATATGTAAACCATCCCGACGGTATGATCCAAACCGGCCCTTTGACTCAGCCCTGGCGCCTTGAATCAGAACGGGTGCTTTAAACCAACAGGCGTTTTGAACCATCGCGACGCTTTCAACCACCCCGGGCGCTGTGAAGCATTTCGGGCTCTTTAACTCGTCCCGAGCGCTTTAACCCATCCCGGCGCTTTGAACCATATCCCGGCGCTTTGAACCGTCTCGGGCGTGGGAGAGCCGCGGCTGCGGTGGGCGGCGCTCCGTGGCGCGATCCACCACTGATGGAGATGAGTGGTGGGATGCTAAGCGACTCTGAGCGGGAACGTTCACAGTCCGGACACACGGGCGATGGTGAGAGGGTTCGGCCACCGAACGGATAATGGGTTGGGTGTGGCGCTAATGCAGCGGGGCCGAGGACTTCGTGGTGGGTCGAGCTTCCACTCCGCCGCCGAGATGAGTGTTATATGGCGCGAGAGAGGCCAATATTTCAACATTATTTTTTAAAAATCATGAAAGTAAAATGCATGAACTGGTGCATGAACTTAGAACGCTTCTATGATGCCAGTAAATTTGTCAAAAAAAAAGAAACACATGACAGGGCATTTGTCGAAAGCCCTAGCGACTCAACTGGATCCGTTTGAGCTTTGAAACCTGATAACTTGTCCAAAAATGAACCACGCCAGCAAATATCGATTGTCACATGCCCGTGCCGATCACCGCTGTATCAACTACCCTCCCCCATGGCCGTTCCTCCGCCTTTCGCCTTCATCTCTGATCTCCCAACCACATCTGACATCACCATCGCTCTCCGTCCTCATACATCACCCACCCGAGCCAGTGAAGCGCGACCGTTCCACCTCCCACCTCCTCGCAGGGAGGGCCAGGGACTACCGAGAGCTCCTCCGCCCTCCGGGAGAGAGCCTGCGGTCGTCCGGTGGACCCTGACGTCAAAAGAGCGTCAGGGTCCACCGGAGGCCTTCACGGGTGGCCGGACAGGAACGTATTGTCAGGTTGGGCTCGGTGGGTGCGCCTCAACGCTGTGATGTAACCGACAGATGAAGGCACTGGACGCCGCGACAGATCTTCACTGTGTGACGCAGTATGTGATCGGGGATGTGCTAGTGGGTGATGAGCTAATGTGATGGCAAAGGTTGCCGTAGCTAGCTGCATCGCACGGTTACATCTCGCTGCAGAGCTGCCAATTAACCATCAATCGCCAATCTATTGATAAGCGATCATCTGATCCTCTTCATTAAAAGCAAAAGTGATTTATTTGACTATTGCTTCATTAATCTCATCAACGCCTATCAAATGCTATTTATAGACTTGTGTGCTAGGTAAAAATCCATAGGTATATTAGCTGAGATGAACCAAAGCTATAGGTAACTGCGTAACACAGCAGTCACGTTTAAAATGACATAGACGTTAATCGATGTCCTTTATACATCTGCCAATCGACGAAGCTCGGTCACCTTAACATACCTTTGCAGGTAATTAAGAATGCTAATGTCTGAATCACAGTTCCAGTAGGTGCCATACGCACAGGGCATTCATTCATCAGTCTTTTTGGCTCTGTCTCCCCATGGGCATCGAATGGTGTTAAAGGGCTTCCTGTCTTTCTTTCCGATGCCTTGAAGGTGGTGCGATGATAACGCGTCCCAGGCACTGTTAACACTGCACTTTCATCCCAGCACACAAAATCCACATTATACCGAGACTCGTTCTCAGCACACTGACAACTTTCGAAGGCGCAGATTTAGAAAACCCACCACCCTGCCAATATTTCCCATCATTGTCCCAACGAGTTCGACACCTCCATTTCTCCAACACCTACAGAGACACAACCCGTGGTTACTCAACTATCCAGCCATGACGCCGTTGCCACAGGCCACAGGCCTCGGACGACTCGTCTCTCGCTGTTCAGAGACAGCCGCTCTGAAAACTGTTCCACCGAAGACACCGGTTACCTCAGACTTACGCCACCGATGTGTCGCTGGGCTGTCCGGTGGCAATTGGGACGCTGCCCGCGCGTCCACACACGCCATACGGGCTCCGAGGTGGTCCACCACTAAAATACACCGCAATACTTCCATTGCACCTACCACCGGTGTCTTCACTGCCACCGCCACTACTGACCAGCGGCCGCCGCCGCAATCTCCACCACCGTTTCTAACCGCCTAAAAAGCAGCTTTCCCCATTGTTAAAGGGACCCTCCCACCTTAACATTAGTTTTGAGTTGAGATAGCCAAGTTTGCGGCCAGGCTCAGAAACCACCATTTATCCTGGTCGCAACCCCCGCAGCTTTATGGTGTTCAAGAAATTTCTTCCCTTTACTTGCAGGGTGGGACCAGCGTGGTCCCTATCTCTTAACCATTACGGGAGTCTGATGACGTCATCAGGCTTTCGAACGTCCGTTAAATGTTTGACTAAAACGTTTTGTAGCACGCGGTGGTATACTTTGCGCGCAACAAATGCCGCACTTTCAAATAAAGTCGCTAGGAACAGCGGAGATCCCAAAAAGTAAACAAAGGTAAAAGTCTAATATCTTGAAAACCGGTGAATATTTTTCGATGAAATTTGGTAGATATTCGTTTTTGCTCTTTCTGAACCGAGCGACATCACTTTCATGCCAATTCATTAACTTTTTTGAAGGTGGGAGGGTCCCTTTAAGCATCGCTTGCCGTCCGATCGGAAAAAGGCGCCCGGCCCCGTGAAGTGTGGACGTCTCGAAAGATTCAGCGACCGCACGACTTCGACCAGAGCACTGGACAACACAACAGCCACGGCAGAGTCGGCGCACGGTCAAAGTGAGGCGTGCATGGACAAAATGAAAAGTGCACAGATAATGCTTGTCGATATGCGCATGACAAGGGAAAGGTATCGGCGAAAGGGCAGATGGATGCATTGAAAGTGGGAAGAGCCGCCCTACTTCGCGACTGTTCCCTGTTCTTAGGGTTCAACTCGGCGGCAGTGTGGGTCTCTGTCCCACGTCTGTCCCCTGTTCTCAGCGTTTCAGCCCAGCTCCGGCGGCGGCTCCCTGTCCTACGCCAACACTGCCGTTCCCAGTTCTCAGCGTTCAGTCGGCTCGGGCGGCGGCTCTCTGCCCTGAGGCAGTGTCCGTCCGTCTTGGCGGCGGTGTCCGTGCCGAAAATCGGCTCATTTTCCGCCCACTGGTCAGGCGGACAATGACCTTGGACGGCGGTCAGCGGGTCTCCCACGGCTCCCTCCCGGTCCAAATGGGCCCGTCGGGAACTGATGGAAGACCCGCCGGCGGCAAAAATATTGGTGATGTATCATGCGAAACGGAAAATAGGTGCACTTTAAATATCCTCCGTCATCCCAAAGGGCATTGGTTTATGGAGGACGCACATGGGCGTCGATGCCAAAACACCTACACAACAAAACACCTAAAAACACCTACAAAACAAAAACTGCATACAATGTTCTGCGAGATCAAAGATGAAGTCGAGAAACACGTTTTAAAATCGAACTAGTGACTTGCAACCTAGTTTCAGGTTTCGTCTTTGACAATTCTCCATCCACCTTTTTCTCTGCTGCTGCTGTCCTCTTCTAAGAATCTCTGCCTTCGTACCGTTCTAGCCCCTCTATCCCAGTATGGGCCGTCCCGGTACGCCGTCACGCCCCTGAGCACAGAATGGCCGGAGCTGTTCCTTATTGTGGCACCGCCGCGCCGCACGGAATAATTACGTTACGCGTCCCGTGACGGCAGACTGTGACGTTACGGTCACGCAGACGTCAGGTGGGAATGGGCCGCCAGTCTCGCTCTCACTGCCAGACGCTGTGCACCATGGGACCAATATTTCTTGGCTGGAACCGGCGACTGGTAACTGAGCTTTGGGTTTCCACTGACAGCGATGAGCGAATTGGTCGTCCGGCGTAACCATCTCGATCAATGTCACACATAAATGCCGGGATAATTGTCGCAGGTAATAACAATGAAATGCGCTCGCCCTGCCACTCGTGCTCTTTTTGGTACATGTGATCATAACCAATTCATGGATAAATATTTCAACAACCCAACCAATCCCATCCAGTGGTATGCATTTGTGCAGTGAAACTAAAAGCAGCGGCTTTGGCTTAACTAATGGATGTCTGCCCGTCAGTAGGTAACCTCATAAAGCTGAGGTCGGGCTAGTCATGGCTCAGAGATGCGGGAATAAAACAACACTACAGACTACAGACACTGTAGACTTAGCTGTGCTGCCCTGTCACGTTATTTATCGGCCGGCTACAGTGTCATAAACTTCCATCGGTAGACGCATGGCGGCTTCGGCAGTGTGCGGAAGGGTTGTAATATGATAACAGGGTGAAAAAGAAAACTCAGATACTTCGATACCGTTCCAAACTCAAATCGCCCGCAGCTAAAATTAGTCCGTTCTTATCGAACACCGTTCGGGTTGACTTCACATGACCAGGCGCGGTCCGGCATCGCCTGAATTTACCAGATCC